TATTTGAAGAACTTGTAGCATTTCACCACAATTTACTTCATCGTATTATTAGCCGACACTGGGCAGCTGGTACATAATTGAATAGAGTTGTTTAAACATTTGTTTAACAACAAGTAAAAGCTTGGAATGGTACGACACAATTCTTGGACAGAGAAGTTTTCAAGCAAGTAGAGCTTGGTTTCCAGATAGAAAACAATATTTGATCAAATGGCAAAAATGCATTAGATTGCATCCACAATAGACACATAATATTGCTTGCACATTGGTGCATACCCTTTTTACGTGCATGCTTGTGTTCCATTGTTCTTGGATCAGGTATGGTCAGTACTGTATGACGTTGTTGCAGAAATGTAGTTAACCTCCCCACTGCATAAGTACTGGTTGTCAATTTCTGTAGTAGGCCCATCCGTAAGGTACCAGTTTATGAACCTAGATCAGAGAGAATTACCTTTGCGGAGTGTTGATAAGATGAAGTCAGAGACACGTCTCCCTTGTGTCTAGGTCATTAACACTATTCACTAGAATGAAGTTTGTGCTAACTGAATGAAGCAATGGCTTTTCACAGAGCACCTGATACATGTCAAGGTCGAGTAAGATTTATGTTTATCCAGTAACCACAAAAACTCAACCACGTGTCCTTGTATCATTATAAGCACATACAATGTGATACTCAGTCTATGGGTCTCTGAACCAGCCACTATAAATTTGCATGTGTACTCTCTGCTGCACTCATACAAGTCGATAGCCAAACCTAATTCAGGTCCTCTAGTTTAAACTAGATGGAATAGCTGAAACTATAATTTATTGTCGAACTTTCGACATCTGTTGATGTCTCAGTTTGAACTATGCTCGCATCCATTGGTCACGTATGATGGCAGGATATGGTAGTGGACATGGCAAGTGTACCAGAAAAGTCTTCTGGCTCAATGAGAATCATGGTGATTGTGCCATGACCCCTTATTGTACTTACTGCGTAGGAGATGGTGGTCATTGTTTGCGTCGTGTTACTGAACATGGAGGCTGGCCGAGTGCTGAATTTACAGTTGCAACTATTACTGTTGCTGGTTTGGGATTTTGCTCTAATGTGGGATTTAATATGGCCACTGTAAATCACATCAACATTGTCTCTCAAACTCATATAATGTCATTTTTTTCATCAAAAACCTATCTGCTTGCTATTTTCATTAATCTTACATCAGATGTAAATCAGGTTGTAAGAAAGAATTTTCATTACAGCTTTCATAAGTATAATTTTTAAATGCATGATCACAAGGCTTTAAATAACGGACTTTAGGAAGTGTTTTGGAGGATCATTATATAGAGGTAAACGTTTTACGGAATTACTGATTGTTACGCAATCGAATATCAGCTAGAAGATACAAACTAGAGAATTATGGTCAATGGACCAAAATTATATGTTAATAACTGACATTATCTGCTTCATATCTATGTGTGAGTGTATGAAAACAGAATATTGTGTTATGTAAATAGCGTCACTGTCTGTGTACATTTAACCTACTTATATATTAAACCACATAAGCTTGGAAAAGAAAGTACGTAAGGAAGTCATGTAGCTCAAGCCGATGCATTCTATGACTGGTCTTTGTGGTTTCGTTTGAATTCAAATACATTAAATTACATATGCCAATTTATTGAATAAACTTTCCGACTTTAAAGCGGGTCACTAAGTTTTTTTTTTTTTTGGATATGTCTACTAGTGGAACAACTTAACGGGTGGCTTATAGTCCGACACTTTATTTTCTTATATTATCTCATTTGTAAATAAGGATGTTTGTTTGCTGATTTGAATTTTGTGACCAACCTCTTTATGGTCATTTGTTGAGCAAATCCTTGTTATTAAGTTTTTCCGTTAGATATTGAATGATTGGTGCTTGGAATGTATACTCACTGTCTTTTAGAAAAAAAAGTAATCTTCTTACTTGTTTTAAATGGAAAATATCTTTGAATTTCGCGGAAAGCTGTACGAGGATTATATGCGCTAGCCGTCCATAATTTAGCAGTGTAAGACTAGAGGGAAGGGAGCTAGTCATCACTACTCTTGGGCTATTTGTTTATAAACGAATAAGTGGGATTGAATGTGACATTATAACGCACCCACGGCTGAAAGGGCGAGCATGTTTGGTGTGACGGGGGTTCGATTGCGAGTCGAGCGTCCTAACCACCTGGCCAAGTAGGCTTATTATATCGATATTTAAATGTCTAAAGATGTTTTGTGGAATAGAATTAGGATAATTATTTTTTGAGGCAAGCAGTAGGCTATATGAAAACAATAAATTAAAATAATTATAACAATGAGGTTCGTAACAAAGTTTTTCTTTTGTTTATGAAATAGGGAAAAAAACAACAACAAGGAAACTAGGTTCTAGGTTAAGTTAGAAACATTCTGTAATAAAATTATTTATTAGTTCAACAGTATACAGTAAATATTAAATAGTTTTCTTGCATGAAATCGCGAAGCATGCAACTTAATTTTAGTTGCATAATATTAGTTATGTAATTCGAAATCTAAAGTTCCGTAAGATATTGCCCCGGTGTCTCATCAGTAAGTCTGAAGGCTTATAATGCAAACATTTGGGTTTTTATTACGTCTCTGTTCGTTTGTTAATTTTCCGTAGACATTCTTTCCGAAAAACTTCAGCGATACAAGTCCTTTTTGTAAATAAAACTAGTTTATTCTTTCTTAATACAACTTTGCAATACAGTTTAACTTAAACACACTTTAACTTAAACACACGCTATAATTCACAACGATTCATGCACTTTACTTACGGTCACTACCGCGCTTGACTCAATTGTCTGTCTCTATCTCTGCCTGTCTGCAATTCAATTAATTATCTCGCTTTATTTGCCTGCTTATATACTAAAATAGAGGACAAATAGAAAAGACTAAAGTTGCCAGGAAGAGCCATAATCCTTCTAGAAACTCCAGTGCGCATGCTTCCAGCATCGCGTGACTTCCGCTGTTGTAACATTTCTATATCAACGGTTGGCAGAGCACAGACAAACATTTTGTTGTTTTATTCTCAACAACAAATAAATAAACTGAAATATATTATGTTTTATGAACTTATAAGTAAATGTTATAGTTTAAAAAAATAACATAAGTAATATATTGTTACGACAGCGGAAGTCACGCGACGCTAGGAGCATGCGCGCTGGAGTTTCTTTGAAGGATCATGACTTATCGAGGATTTCCGCGAAATCCGAGTGTTTGCCAGGCATCCTCTTTTTTAGTATATAAACCAGGCAAATAAAGCCAGCCATCGATATATATTCAGATAGATTGAAGAGATTTATAGCGTGTGTTATAAAGGTTGTTAAGTTTAAAGTGACTGTTGAAATTCTGTGTATTGCAAAGTTGTATCGACAAAGAATAAACTAGTTTTAATTAAGAAAGGACGCGTATCGCTGAAGTTCCTCAGAAAGAATTTATACAGAAAATTAACAAACGAGCAGATACGTAACAATATGTACCTTTAGAATATCAGTCCAGTTAACATATATAAATGTGTTGAAATATTGTTTTATATCTTGGAATATCACTACAGTGATTCAAAATCTTAGTATGGAACTGTCTTTAATTATAAGTCATTCGGGTTCTATATCACTTTTAAAGAAACAAGAAAAGAGGATCCAACATGCCATTAAAGAAACAAAATTTCTGAGATTGAAAAGATCAAGACTGGGAATAGAAGATTTTGAGCCCTTAAAAGTGATTGGACGAGGGGGTTTTGGAGAGGTTCGTCTCGTTCAGAAGAAAGATACCGGGCATGTTTATGCCATGAAAATTCTTAGAAAAGTGGATATGTTAGAAAAGGAGCAGGTATATATAGAATTTGTCATTGGATATTATTATTAATGAAGCAATGTATTGCTTAATGATTTAGTTCCTGTCTACGAAATATACTCTGTGTGTGCATTTTGCAAATTTCTCAGTAATTATTTCAACTGATATTTTATTTAAGTAACTTAAAATTAGTTGTAAGTAAAAATATAGTTTTGTTTATACTGCGGCAGTGTGTTATTGGGAATTATATTTCTGAACTGAAGTGATACAGGGATTTAACTTTAACCTAACAGCTGGTTATTTAGAAATATAACCAGTGAACTTGAAATACTAGTCAACACTGATTAGTAGTGCTTACAGACTTTTAACAGAAACAGTCTCTTTAAGTGAAATAACATCTGTTAGACCAACTGAAATAATAATAGATGGCAGTATTCCAAGGATAACTATATTATGTTATGGTTAATAGTAGAGCCCAATAACAACAGTGTTTACAACTCTTCAAAGAATGTCATCCTCCGTTATGTTTGTTATGTACATATGGCTCTGCATGATAAAATTGGAAAAGGTGACAATTTCAGTTAAACTGTTTAGTTATAGGTCTGTAAGCTAAATACATTTGTGTAAGCTTTTAGATCAGTTTGCCCATATTAATTTTTTAATAAATGATGTTGCCAGTTATATCAGTGTCTTACTTCTAGATAAAAATGAGCAAAAGTAAATAATCTGGCCAGTCATTATGAAAAATAAATAAATAAATAATTTACAATCTGTCAACATGTTTAGCAATCAACAAGTATTACTCTGAGAACTATAAAACAACAAAAAATGGATAAATTGATGTATAAAAATCAAAAACAAAATGATGACGTGACGGGACAGAGTGAATGAGTAATTGAACTGCAGTCAGAGAGTGTGTAATTGAACTGAGTATTGTTGAAGGTGAGCACGTGAGACGTTCGTTGAGAATCATAGCGTTTGTTATAGCGCGACTGTTGACATTATGTGTATCGCAAAGTTATATTCCGAAAGAATAAACCACTTTTATTTAAGAAAGGACTTGTGTCGCTAAAGTTTAGTCGGAACGAAGTTACGGAAAATTAACTAACGAACGGAGACATAACAAATTTGTGTCAGAAGTGGAATAAAAAAAAATGGAAACGAGAAGCGGCAAATCAAACTACAGCTTAGCAGATTTGATGGCAGCAATACAAGAACAGCAAAAGAAACAAGAAAAACGAGAAGAGAAACAAGAAGAGAGATTACAGCAGTTGCAAGAAAACCTGCAACAGTGGCAGCTCGAAGAGCAAAATAAAGAAGAGAGATTACAGCAGTGGCAATAAAACTTGCAACAGTGGCAGCTCGAACAGCAAAATAAAGAAGAAGAGAGATTACAGCAGTGGCAATAAAACTTGCAACAGTGGCAGCTCGAACAGCAAAATAAAGAAGAAGAGAGATTACAGCAGTGGCAATAAAACTTGCAACAGTGGCAGCTCGAACAGCAAAATAAACAAGAAGAGAGATTACAACAGCTACTGGAGGAGAAAAAAAATAAACAAGAAGAGAGATTACAACTGCTATTGGAGAAGAAAGAAAACAAATAAGAAGAGAGACTGCAACAGTGGCAAGAAGTACAAATGGAAAACATTAGTAAATTCAAAAGCGAATTAGATACATTAAAGGATGATTCATTGTCTTTTGCACAAGGAGAACACATTAACCGTCGACTTAATCAGCCCCAGACAATGGCAAGCCCCTTACAGAGCCCGCAGCTAAACCCTAATGCAGACATATTCAGTCCCGTTAGAAGTCACTTCCCAGATATGAATGTCAGTAATAGGAGTGATCCAGTACGAAGGAAGCCACAGGAATACGATGGGAAAGCACCGTAGGAAGCATATAGAGCACAATTTGAGCTACTGGAAGAGATGAACGGATGGACAGAGGAGCAGAAAGCAGTATATCTTGCAATGAGCTTGAAGGGACAATCACTGGAAATAAATACTTGGACAGTTGTCAGCAGACGACAGACACAACTATAGAGCACTGGTAG